TTTGCTCGGTGCACATAGCTAAGCTTTCTAAATCGGTTCAAGTTTCAAGCGAGACCTAGATTGTAATGAGCTCGAGAGCGATTCTGCTCGATAAACAGAGATTAAAACATTGGAAGCATTGTTGTTTGTGTTTGCGAGAAACCATCTGGAAATTAGAACGGTGTACTTTAGAACGTGCTGGGGCTATTGTTCTCGCACATTAGCATTTAAGGATTGCAATCAGCATATAAGAATTGGGGTTTGTGAAATAATTCTATTAAGGAGCAAGAAAACCACGACGGCAACGACCACGGGAACGTCACCAAACAAAAGGTTTAATGACCAGTACAATGGCTGTGCACGTACGTTATGATTCTTGGTACATTTCTTTGCCGTCCTCTGCACAACAACAACGTAAATTCTGCGTTGACTGGAGAACGTGAACCACGACGGCTAATTTTTTCGCTAATTTTTTTATCGCTGTGTCCCGGATGTAGTTTTGGGATAGTTTGACAGTGATAAACAAAGCAAATGACTTCAGAGTATCGCGAGATTGGTAGGTAAAATATAAGTTCATTTTTAATCGACGTTATCCTTGGCGTCGTCGTCATGGTTTCTTAAGCTCCCAATTGGAAGATGAAGGAGACTCTACTAATTAGGGAACTAAAAACTACCCTAAACGATTATGTTAGCAGCAAAGAGCTTATCTTTATTAGTTTGCATCTTTTAGTATACAAATTTTTCTCAGCTTCTGTCATTGTTGTTGTTAATCAGTTACTTATCGTAAATTCAAAATTTACTTGTTACTTCTATTCTAAATGGTCACTACTGAATATGTATGTCGAAACATACGAAACGTTAAGTTGAATGAATTTTGTTTTCCAAAATGCGATTTATTTTCATGTTCGTCACTGCAGTTTGGGTGTTATTTCTTATAAAGTCTATTTTGTTAAACGCCTCCAGTATTTTAATGCAAGAAATGTCTTTTCAGTTTCACAAATTATGGGTCCCCTTTGCGAGGGTTCTTAGGCAAAACCTCAGCAGTCGAATACTTACCATTGACAACGGCCATCTATTTTACAAAAGGGCTGATTGAACCCCATTTTTAATTGCCTATATTTTTGCAATATTCCTCCGTGTAACATAATTGCATTTTTTTTTTGAACATTTTGACTTTTCTTTCTTTTTGCATTGAGTATCCCATCACACATGTTGGAAATTATGGAACAAGCACAAGACTTTGTGCTATTAAAAGAAAAATAATCCTTATTTTTTTTTAGCAAAAACGGACAATGTTGCTAATTCTGTATACTTTTAATGTGCAATCTTTTAGCATTAATTGGTTTTTTCTTCCTACAGCT